TTTATTGGAGATAGGAGTCTCACAGTCTCTCCTGCCCCGGCCGGCTTTGAACCGCGATCCTCAGATTTCAGCCTCCTGAGTAGCTAGGATTATAGGTGTAAGCCACCAACGCCCAGCTCATGAGATTCTTATCTCCAGTAAACCACCAGTAAACCAGAATTGCACTGAGACTCTTTATCTCCAATAAACCACCAGTAAACCAGAATTGGCACTGAGATTCTTATCTCCAATAAACCACCGGTAAACTAGAATTGGCGCTGTGGCTCAAGTGGTAGAGGGCTAGCCTTAAGCTAAAGAGCTGAGGGACAGGCCTAGAGTTCAAAGCCTCATGACCTGACCAAAAAAAGAGTCTCACACACTTTCTTGCTTGGATTGGCTTTGAGTGGAGGATCCTCAGATCTCAGCCTCCTGCATTGCTAGGGTTACAGACTTGAGCCCTAGCACCCTGGTATGAATATTTTTAAAAAGGAAAAGGTTACATAAACAATGTATACAGTGTTTCCATGGTAAAGAGTAAGAACTCAATAAACATTAGCTGCTATTATTATATAAGGGAGTACCTAGAGAAGAACATCTGGATATTAGGGAAAATGATGTCTTTGAGCCAGAAAATAGAGCTCCAGGCTCTATTGCTTTTTCTTAAACTAGGCATTTCCTAGGCAGATGGGCAGACAGGATCCACATGCCCTCTCCTCCTGGGTTCTTAGGTCCAGTAGTCAAAAGTTGGGGCTCCCTGAACGGCCAGTGGAGGCTGGGTGAAGTCCCCTGAGATGTGAGACTTCAGCACAAAGCCTCCCTGACCCCTACCCCCCTAGTCCAGCGTCTAGTTCCTGGGGAAGCCAGAGCCTTCCTTACCTGCTCCATCCCAAGGATGCCAGGCCCGGGCTAGGAACACAGCCACAGCCGGTTCTGTGTCTCGAGCGCGCACGCTCCAGTCGGAAGCGCTAGAGGTCGTTGCCGGGGGCGTGGGTGGCTGGACCCGGCTTGAGGTCCCGGGCTGGAGGCTGAGCGAGATGGAGTTGTGTTTGGGGAGGTGTGCTGGCACCGGAAGAGCCAGCCGGACGGTGGGGACTGACCGCAGGATGACCTGGGAACCCGGGCCTCAGTGATACTCAGGGAAACACATATGGACTGGGAAAGTGTGTTGTGGAGGAGGGACCTGGATAGACAGACAGGTGATGCAGATCCAGTGAATCGAGACAGATGGGGGAGGGAGTGGGGAGAAAGATCCAGAAATAAAGGAGAGAATGTCAAAGATGAGTCAGAGAAGTAGAGACAGGACAGGCACTGTTAGGGACTGTAGAAACAGCGGAGAGAGAGAGGGAGGAGGTGGGGGGGAGACCCAGAAAGGAAGGGATTCAGGGAGGAAACTCAGAGACAAGGAAAGGCCAGAAATCATAGTAGGAGTAGAAACAGTGGACCAGACAGAAGCGAAACAATGCAAACAGCTGGCTCTTCATAAAAACTCCTGGTGTCTTCCTCCAGGACTACCCTCTGAGAAGAACCAAACGCAAGAAATTCTACTACCAGGCTATCTTTGCCCTCGCCCTTAAGGTAAACAGAAAGATGGCCAAGGAGAGGGGCCTAATAAGCCCCGAAGACTTTGCCCAACTGCAAAAATACATGGAATGTGAGTCTTCCCTCCCAGCCCTTCCCTTCAAGAGACTACCCCCAGAGAATCTCTCTTCCTTCTCATTCAAGTCTACATTTTCTCCAGTGGTCTTGAGCCTCTCTGCTCCTCAGATATGCCCAGGAGTCGGGAAGGGGAGAGACATGATGGGCAAATGGCTAAGTCATTGCTTGGGAGACAAGAATGGTACCACTCTGGAGGGTCTGAGATGTTTTTCCCTCTGGATTTCTGTGTTTCTTCTTGAATTTATTTTCCTTTTTCTTTTTTCTTTTTGGTCGGTTGTAGGGCTTGAACTCTGGGCTTGGGCACTGTCCCTGAGCTCTTCAGCTCAAGGCAAGCGCTCTACCGCTTGAGCCACAGCACCACTTCCGGTTTTCTAGTGGTTTATTGGAGATAAGAGTCTCACAGACTTTTCTGCCCAGGGCTGGCTTTGAACCAAGATCCTCAGATTTCAGTCTCCTGAGTAGCTAGGATTACATGTGTGAGCCACCAGTGCCCAAATTCCTTTTCCTCTTTTTTTTTTTCTGGACCTGGGGCTTGAACTCAAGATCTGGGCATTATCCCTAAACTTTCTTTCTTTCTTTTTTTTTTGGGGGGGTTGGTCAAGGGACTTGAACTCTGGGCTTGGGTGCTGTCCCTGCGCTCTTCAGCTCAAGGCGAGTGCTCTACCGCTCGAGCCATAGTGCCACTTCTGGTTTTCTAGTGGTTCAAGGTTGGCACTCTATCCCTTGAGCCACAGCTCCACTTCTGGTTTTTGGTGGAGATAAGAGTCTCACAGAGTTTCCTGTCCCAGCTGGCTTCAAATCCTGATTCTCAGATCCCAGCCTTCTGAGTAGTGGGCTGGGAATGTGGTAGAGTTTTTGCCTAGCATATATCAAGCCCTGGGTTTGATTCCTCAGTACCACATAAACAGAAAAAGCTGGAAGTAGTACTGTGACTCAAGTGGTAGAGTACTAGCCTTGAGCAAAAGAAGCTCAGGGACAGCGCCTAGGCCCTGAGTTCAAGCCCCCGGACTAGCAAAAATTAAAAAAATAAAAAGCATCCTCAGCCTTCTGAGTAGTTAGGATTATATATGTGAGCTACTGAGACCTGGCTCAAAATTTCTTTCTTCTTAAAAAAAATTCTTTCTTCTTATTAATATATCTTTTTTTCCCTTGCTGGATGTCTTGTTGGGACTCTGAGGAAAGCTAGAGAGCTGAACTAGACTAATGTGCTTCTCTAATTCTCTTCATACCTAGACTCCACCAAAAAGGTCAGCGATGTCCTCAAGCTCTTCGAGGATGGTGAGATGGCCAAGTATCTCCAAGGAGATGTGAGTGGCGGCATCTGGGGAATCATCTTCTTGACCAAAGCCTTCCATCTTTGCTTCTATTACTACACTGGGATTCCCAGCTTCCAGAGATTTTTTTTTTCTGGCCTCAACTCCCTTGATACCACCCATGTAAATAGCCCCTTGTCCATTATCCTGGACAATTATTGCTGTAGGACAAAAACAAGAGACCTTAATATTTAGGAATTGCCCCCAGAAACCATATTCCTATTTCAGAAGTCTCTCAGCTGTGCTTTTACCCCCTGTCTCCACTACTCCCAGTTCTTCAGTCCCCAGCTTCTCCCAGCTGACTTCCCAGAGTAAGGCTCACTATCATCATAGGCCATTGGGTACGAGGGATTCCAGCAATTCCTGAAAATCTATCTGGAAGTGGAACAAGTACCCATTCACCTGAGCCAGGCACTGTTTCAATCCTTCCGCACTGGTCACTGTTTAAACGAGGCTATGATCAAAGGTATGGTTAAGCACATAAGACTGGGCTAGGCTGGGGACTGGGGGGAGAGGGGTGGGTGTGGGTGGGTGGGTATGGGTGTGGATGTGGGTGTGTGTTCCAAATTAGCGTGGGTTGAAGGGAGATCAAGAGAGTGGTAGAGGGTGGACAGGCTGGACTAGGAATTGGCAAGAGGAAGGTTGAAGGGGAGTTGGAAGATCCAAAGTACAGAGAGAACCTGACCTCTGGTCTGCTGTATCTTTTTTTTTCTTTTAATAGCAGATGTAGTGTGTCTCAGTGATGTCTCCTGCTACTTCTCCCTTCTGGAGGGTGGTCGGCCAGAAGATAAGCTAGAATGTGAGTTGCCATTGTGGACTGGGAAGGGGAGGAACAGTGGAGAGGGAAGAGAGGTGCTTTCTAGGCTCCTTCCCCTCATTGCTTCAGGATCCTTAAAGGCTAACAGGGCCAGACAGAAGTGGTGCCAAAGAATGGGCCTATTTTCTTTTTTCCCCCAGACTGCTTGTACCAAACACCATTCCTCATAGTCATTCTAGTTCCTATATCTTATACATTCTCCTCTGGGTTGTTCTTGGGATATGAGAACCTGTGCTTTCTCTTCTATCAGATTTACCCAGAACCTTGCTTGGGTGCTGGTGGCTGGTAGTCCTAATTAATCAGGAGGCTGAGATCTGAAGATCATGGTTCTAAGACAGCCCGGGCAGGGAAAGTATCTCCAATTAACCACCAAAAAACTGCAAGTAGAGCTGTGACTCAAGTAGTAGAGGGTTAGCCTTATGCAAAATAAAAGCTAAGGGACAGCACCCAGGTACTGAGTTCCAGCCCCAATACTGGCATGCACGCGCGCGCACACACACACACACACCCCACAAACACAGATTTACCCAGGGTAGCATCTATTGCCTGTTCCCCTCCCTTTTTGTCTCCATTCCTCAGTCCCATCCCAAGCTCTAGGCTCTTAGCTGCTCCCCTCTAACCCTCTGTCTTATTTCCCCTGTATTCTAGTATGAATTCTTTGGGTTTCTTTCACCAACTGACCCTGGTTCCTCTAAAATATCCCACAGTTACCTTCAAGCTGTATGACACGGACAGAAATGGGATCCTGGACAGCTCAGTGAGTTTCGGGACCTGTTGACAAGCAAGGGAGTGTGTCTGTACTGTCCTGTCTCAACTCTCTCATGGCCTTAAAAAGTTGTGCTGAGGGCATGGCTCAAGAGGTAGAGCGCCAATCAAGCAAGCTGAGAAAATGCCAGACCCTGAGTAACCCCCCAGTAACCCCCCCCCCCCCACACACACACAAAGAGGAGGCAGAAAAGGGCTGGAGGATAAAAGTGTTTGCCTTGAATATATAAAGCTCTGTCTTTGATCTCTACCACTGCAGAGCAGGGAGAGAGAAAAGGAGAAGGCTGGAGACATGAATTGGGGTTTAACTTGAAAACATTCAAACACATGTACTTACCTGACAAGGGGCTCTTAGGAATGAGAGGTGGGGCTGGGCCCTAGTGGGTCACACCTGTAATCCTAGCTACTTAGGAGGCTGAGATCTGGGTATCATGGTTCAAAGCCATCCTGAACAAGAGCATCCATGAGACTCTTTTTTTTTTTTCCCCATCCATGAGACTCTTATCTCCACTTAACCATCAAAAATATCAGAAGTGGTGCTGTGGCTCAAAGTGGTAGAGTGCTAGCCTTGAGTACAAAAAGCTCAGGGACAGTGCCCTGGCCCTGAGTTCAAGCAAAAACAAAAAAAGAGTGAGAGGTAGATCTAGGGATGGAACTCAGGAGCTCTGTTTTCTGGAGACAAGTTTGGGTGGTACTAGTAAAGTGGCTATGGCTGTGGCTCTAATCCTTTTTGTCCCAGGAAGTAGAAAAAATTATCCTCCAAATGATGCGAATGGCAGAATATCTGGATTGGGATGTATCTGAGCTGAGGCCGGTAAGACATTTTTTCTTCCCTGTGCCTTATCTACCCTCTTTCCCTGTGGTCCTGTATCTGCTTTACCCCCATCCCCAAGGGGCTAGGTTGGCTATGCTAGGAGAAGTACCTGAGGGACCATTTACATCAAAAGTCTCTTCCCACTCTCAGATTCTTCAGGAGATGATGAAGGAGATTGACTATGATGGTAGTGGCTCTGTCTCCCTAGCTGAGTGGGTCCGAGCAGGAGCTACCACGGTGCCACTGCTAGTGCTGCTGGGGATGGAGATGGTGAGTGGGAAGGGCTTGTGAGGCTGGGCGAAGCAGCTGTCTGGGGCTGTGATTGTCAAAGGCTGGGCCTCTAAGAAGTAGGTCTGCTCTGTGCCCTCTATAGACTCTGAAGGATGATGGGCAGCATATGTGGAGACCCAAGCGGTTCCCCAGACCGGTCTACTGCAACCTGTGCGAGTCTAGCATTGGTCTTGGCAAACAGGGGCTCAGCTGTAACCGTGAGTAATAGCACCTGGGAGTGTGGGAGAAGAGGGGGAATCCAGCCGCTGGTGGGAATGTAAGCATGCTGATCCTAGACCTAGATTTGAATTCTGGGCTCTGCCACTGACTAGTTTGTGGCCTTGTGAATGTTTCTTCCTTTTTTTTTTTTTGTTTTTTGTTTTGTTTTCAGTCATGAGGCTTGATTGAACTCTGGGCCTGGGTGCTGGTCTTCAGTTCAAGGCAAGAGCTCTACCACTTGAGCCACAGAGTCACTTCCGGTTTCCTGGTTAACTGGAGATAGTCTCACGGACTTCCCCGCCTGGACTGGCTTTGAAACACGATCCTCAGATCTCAGCCTCCTGAGTAGCTAGGATTACAGGGGGGAGCCCCTGGCACCTGGCATCTTTACTTTCTTTCTCCTTCCTTCCTTTCTTCTTTTCTTCCTTCCTATGTCTCTCCTCCCCTCCCCTCTCCTGTTTCTCTTTTTTTCCTTCCTTCCTTCCTTTCTTTCTTTTTCTTTCTATCTTTTTTTGTGGTGCTAGGGGTCAGACCCAGGACCTCTCAAGCATCTAGTTTCTTTAACTGAAAATGAGCTAATTGTAAGTATTAAAAGGGTTGATACACAGGCTGGGAAGGTAGCTCAGTGGCAGAGTGCTTGCTTTGCATGCATAAGCAGAAAAAGCTGGAAGTGGCATAGGTGGCTCAAGTGGTAGAATGCTAGCCTTGAGCTGAAGAGCTCAGGGACAGTGCTTAGGCCCAGAGTTCAGGCCCCATGAATAACAGAAAAGCCAAACAAACAAAAGAAAGGTTGAAACATAGCAGGCACCAGTGGCTCATGCTTATAATCCTAGCTACTCAGAAAGCTGATATCTGAAGGTCATGATTTGAAGCCAGCCTGGGCAAGAAAGTCTGTGAGACCCTTATCTCCAATAAACTACTCAGAAAAAGCTGGAAGTGGTGCTCTGGCTTAAATGATAGAGTGCTAGCTTTGATCATAAAGTGGCTCAGGGACAGCATGTAGGCCCTGAGTTCAAGCTCCAGGACCAGCAAAAAAAAAAATGTTGATACAACAAATGCAAATGCAGCAGTGGTACTCACTAGATGCTTTGTGGAAAATGAACTGGGCACAGGAGGGAAAATCAGAGAGAGAGAGAGAGTAACATTGTCCAAAAAGAAATGTACTCATTACCTGACTTATTTAACTGTAACCCTTCTGCACATCGCATTTATAATGACAATTTAAAAAAAGTTGATATAGCTGGGTGCCACTGGCTCACATCTATATTCCTAGCTACTTTGGAGACTGAGATCTGAGGATCATGGTTTAAAGCCCACCTGAGCAGGGAAATCCATGAGACTTTGTTTCCAATATCTACTGAAAAGCCAGAAGTGCAGCTATGGCTCAAATGGTAGACCACTAGAAGATCACCTGAAATCCCTTTCTAACAAGAGTATGGCAGTGTATGGCTAGTAGCTGATGCTTATAATCCTAGCTACTCAGGAGGTTAAGATCTTAGGGTTGGAAGTCAGCCTTAGCAGACAAATCCAAGAAATGGAGGTGTGGCTCAAGATGTTAGATACCAGCCTACGGAACAAAGCTAAGCAAAAAGTGCAAGGCCTTGAGTTCAAACCCTAGTTCTGGCGCGCGTGTGCGCATGTGCACACACACACACGCAAAGACTCACACACTTGAGCACAGAAGTGCCCAGGCCTTGAATTTAAGCTGCAGGCACACACACACAGATTGGTACAGGCTGGGGACATGCTTCCACTCAGTTCAATCTCAGTACTTGGAGAAAAAAAAAGAGCTTCCCAAAGCACATGTGTACACTATATACTATGCAATCATAATTAGTTGTTATTATTGTCATTATTATAGTTACACTGGTCTCCTTTACATTGTCTAGCTCAGTTACTGCTTGACGCATGGATGGTGTGGGGACAGGCATGGGACAACAGTTGCTCTTTTAAGAGGATGAAAAAGGCATAGGTCTTGGAAGTAAGGTATCACTCCTCCAAACTTATGTGTGTGAGTCTTTGTGTGTGTGTGTGTGTGTGTGTGTGTGCCAGAACTAGGGTTTGAACTCAAGGCCTTGCACTTTTTTTTTTTTTGGGGGTCCGGTCGTGGGGCCTGAACTCTGGGCCTGGGTGCTGTCCCTGCGCTCTTCAGCTCAAGGCGAGTGCTCTACCGCTCGAGCCATAGTGCCACTTCTGGTTTTCTAGTGGTTCAAGGTTGGCACTCTATCCCTTGAGCCACAGCTCCACTTCTGGTTTTTGGTGGAGATAAGAGTCTCACAGAGTTTCCTGTCCCAGCTGGCTTCAAATCCTGATTCTCAGATCCCAGCCTTCTGAGTAGTGGGCTGGGAATGTGGTAGAGTTTTTGCCTAGCATATATCAAGCCCTGGGTTTGATTCCTCAGTACCACATAAACAGAAAAAGCTGGAAGTAGTACTGTGACTCAAGTGGTAGAGTACTAGCCTTGAGCAAAAGAAGCTCAGGGACAGCGCCTAGGCCCTGAGTTCAAGCCCCCGGACTAGCAAAAATTAAAAAAATAAAAAGCATCCTCAGCCTTCTGAGTAGTTAGGATTATATATGTGAGCTACTGAGACCTGGCTCAAAATTTCTTTCTTCTTAAAAAAAATTCTTTCTTCTTATTAATATATCTTTTTTTCCCTTGCTGGATGTCTTGTTGGGACTCTGAGGAAAGCTAGAGAGCTGAACTAGACTAATGTGCTTCTCTAATTCTCTTCATACCTAGACTCCACCAAAAAGGTCAGCGATGTCCTCAAGCTCTTCGAGGATGGTGAGATGGCCAAGTATCTCCAAGGAGATGTGAGTGGCGGCATCTGGGGAATCATCTTCTTGACCAAAGCCTTCCATCTTTGCTTCTATTACTACACTGGGATTCCCAGCTTCCAGAGATTTTTTTTTTCTGGCCTCAACTCCCTTGATACCACCCATGTAAATAGCCCCTTGTCCATTATCCTGGACAATTATTGCTGTAGGACAAAAACAAGAGACCTTAATATTTAGGAATTGCCCCCAGAAACCATATTCCTATTTCAGAAGTCTCTCAGCTGTGCTTTTACCCCCTGTCTCCACTACTCCCAGTTCTTCAGTCCCCAGCTTCTCCCAGCTGACTTCCCAGAGTAAGGCTCACTATCATCATAGGCCATTGGGTACGAGGGATTCCAGCAATTCCTGAAAATCTATCTGGAAGTGGAACAAGTACCCATTCACCTGAGCCAGGCACTGTTTCAATCCTTCCGCACTGGTCACTGTTTAAACGAGGCTATGATCAAAGGTATGGTTAAGCACATAAGACTGGGCTAGGCTGGGGACTGGGGGGAGAGGGGTGGGTGTGGGTGGGTGGGTATGGGTGTGGATGTGGGTGTGTGTTCCAAATTAGCGTGGGTTGAAGGGAGATCAAGAGAGTGGTAGAGGGTGGACAGGCTGGACTAGGAATTGGCAAGAGGAAGGTTGAAGGGGAGTTGGAAGATCCAAAGTACAGAGAGAACCTGACCTCTGGTCTGCTGTATCTTTTTTTTTCTTTTAATAGCAGATGTAGTGTGTCTCAGTGATGTCTCCTGCTACTTCTCCCTTCTGGAGGGTGGTCGGCCAGAAGATAAGCTAGAATGTGAGTTGCCATTGTGGACTGGGAAGGGGAGGAACAGTGGAGAGGGAAGAGAGGTGCTTTCTAGGCTCCTTCCCCTCATTGCTTCAGGATCCTTAAAGGCTAACAGGGCCAGACAGAAGTGGTGCCAAAGAATGGGCCTATTTTCTTTTTTCCCCCAGACTGCTTGTACCAAACACCATTCCTCATAGTCATTCTAGTTCCTATATCTTATACATTCTCCTCTGGGTTGTTCTTGGGATATGAGAACCTGTGCTTTCTCTTCTATCAGATTTACCCAGAACCTTGCTTGGGTGCTGGTGGCTGGTAGTCCTAATTAATCAGGAGGCTGAGATCTGAAGATCATGGTTCTAAGACAGCCCGGGCAGGGAAAGTATCTCCAATTAACCACCAAAAAACTGCAAGTAGAGCTGTGACTCAAGTAGTAGAGGGTTAGCCTTATGCAAAATAAAAGCTAAGGGACAGCACCCAGGTACTGAGTTCCAGCCCCAATACTGGCATGCACGCGCGCGCACACACACACACACACCCCACAAACACAGATTTACCCAGGGTAGCATCTATTGCCTGTTCCCCTCCCTTTTTGTCTCCATTCCTCAGTCCCATCCCAAGCTCTAGGCTCTTAGCTGCTCCCCTCTAACCCTCTGTCTTATTTCCCCTGTATTCTAGTATGAATTCTTTGGGTTTCTTTCACCAACTGACCCTGGTTCCTCTAAAATATCCCACAGTTACCTTCAAGCTGTATGACACGGACAGAAATGGGATCCTGGACAGCTCAGTGAGTTTCGGGACCTGTTGACAAGCAAGGGAGTGTGTCTGTACTGTCCTGTCTCAACTCTCTCATGGCCTTAAAAAGTTGTGCTGAGGGCATGGCTCAAGAGGTAGAGCGCCAATCAAGCAAGCTGAGAAAATGCCAGACCCTGAGTAACCCCCCA